AATGATTTATTAATATTTAATAAATCATTTATTAGTATTTAATACACACTGGATTATGAATATTTAAAAAATTCCTCAAAAACGTGTTTCAATGTTTTATTTTAATTATAAAAATTACAGAGAATTAGATATTTAATGAAGTAAAAGAAAATTGAAATTAAAAAATACAAATAATAAAAAGATAAATTACAATTAGAAGTTTACACACATATATATATATATATACTTATTTACAACTACGCGTTAAGTAGAGCCATCTACCAACACCGACCACCAACAAAATATTTGTTAACTATTAACAAATCTTATTTGGTGGAAATAAATACTTTTTTCAATACACAAAAGCTTCTTAATAGTTACAAAAATTTTGTTCTCATAAAAAATTGATTTAGTTAATACTAACGAATATTGTTAATAGTAAAAAAATATTTTTTCCACCCAAAAAAATATCTGAAAAAGATTTTAATAAATTGATTTATTAAATACAAACAAATCCTTCTATCAGTGTACAAATTAAATGAAAGAAAAATTTTTACTTGATTTAGTTTTCATTTTAACTGTTCAGATTTTCAGATAAATCATTATATTTAATTTAATTATATTCAATCGACTCATACTAATTACTAACGACAATGTTTCTATGTATTATGAGTAATACCCATATTCAAGAAAAATAAGTTTGAATAAAAATAAGAAATTAATGAATAAATGTTACCCATAGTGATGAGCATAATCCGTGTTACTCATTCTAACAAACAGAAGACTCCAGTCTGATATTATATAAGCAATAAAAAATAAATTTATGAGTAGAGCTAACGCCGAAAATGAAATGTCCTGTTGCAACATTAAAAGTTCATTAAAATGATTTTATTAGAATTAAAAATTTTTTAAAAATACTTACGACCATTAAATGAAATTCTTGGCGCAAGTAATTCGATAAAAAACCAACGATATTAATTATTAAATAACCGGGTATGAATGTAGGAAATAAAATTGATGTTGCGCAGCAAGAAAGAAATGTTGGTGGTAGTATTATTAGAGTTAACGTACCTGCAAGGCAGAAAATCTAAAAGAATTATATTTAAAGACTAAATAATAATAGTAATAAGAATAAATTATAATTATGATGATAAACAAACTTACTGCGCCACAAAGTTTACATGTTATCAGAATATTAACACTCCGATCTTCCAAAGGCTCATTAACAGTCGCTTGGACCATCGACACAAAGTCATGCATTTTCTTTCATTAGAAATTTTGATACTTCTTGAAGGTTGGAATTATTTATTAAGTAAATACGTTTTTACATATATTTATCATAAACAAATGAATCTCTAACACTTACTGAGTTAATAAATTATTAGTTAGTAAGTGGGAAAAAAATAGTACTTGATAAATGCATAATTTTTAATCACCATTTATTGTTTTCGATGTAGATCATTAGTGATATGTGTCCTAGCATATACAAAGCAATGACTGAAAAAATAGTTGATTAAATCAATTATAAAAAAAAATAATAATCAATAGAGTTATTTGGTGCGAATTTTTAATTAATATTATTTACAGTTGTAGTAATAAGTTTTCAGTGAATGAAAATTAAGAAAATTAAGAAAACGGTTGATCTTAAAGGTCATCCCTGCAACTTACCGCTAATTAAATATTTAAGCGCTTAGAATTGCGATTCAAGATTATTAATCTCTTCAAAATCATGTTCTTAATTCAAAAATTTTTCTCTTGAATCAAGGTTATTTTTTTTATTAGTGTAAAAGTATGAAGCGTTTTTTATAAATTTTAACTTGTTCATGGGTAAAACAATTTCAAAGTTAACCATTAATCCGTCTTATAAAACACTGATAGAAGGATTTGTTTATAGTTAAAAATATATTTGTTAATATTTAACAAATCATTTATTAGAGACCGCTTTTTAGTCCTTAAAAAATAGTTCTTAGTTTTTAAAGAGATTTATTACTATTTAATGAATGAATATTAGATTTATTCAATACAAACAAATCATTTTTAATACCAAGAAATATTTGTTTAATTCTAAAAAGTGGTCTCTAATAATTGATTTGTAATTATTAAAAAATATTTATTTGTATTAAATAATATTTGTTAATATTTAACAAATCATTCATTAGAGACCATTTTTTAGTATTAAACAAATATTTCTTAGTATTTAAAATGACTTGTTTGTATTTAATAAATTTGATTTTCATCTATTAAATATTAATAAATCTTTTTAAATACTAACAAATATTTGTTAAGGTTTAATAAATGGCTTCTAATAAATGATTTGTTAAATACTAAAAAATCTTTTTAACTATTAACAAATCCTTCTATCAGTGTACACAGAAAAAAGAAAACTCGAAAAATCACATTATAAATATTAAGAGGTGTCCCGTCGTATTAAAAACTAGAAAAATTACAGTTCAAAATAACATTTTTCTAAATTCAAACTTCGAATGTTAATTTTCAGAGCTTTCAATGTAAATATTACATTCTACAATGTAATTCTTATAAAATCTATAATAATTACAATCTGAAACTGTATTTTTTTCAGTTTTTATTACGGAACGTCACGTTAAATTATAATGTAATTTTTCTATTTTTCTTTTTTCCGTGTACTTACTAATTAATGACCCTTAAACTACTTTCAATTTTAAAAATTGACTGTACAATAGACAATTAAAATTTATAAATATTATTAATCTTGAATCACAACTAGTTTGACAATTACAATAAATTTTAACCGAGTACAAACGATCCAATTTTAAAACGACAACAAGTAAAAATATTAAAAACATTAAAAATTTTTTGATAATTTCATTTTTTTCAAAATATTATATTCCATGACGAATTTAAGATAATAATCATAAAAATTAAAAAAAATACACTTTTCAATTAGTTTTTAAGCTTTTAATTTTAGCGCAAATTTTTTTAACCAAAAATTGTTAATAAAATATGACCACAGAAGTCTTTATATTTCAATTTTTTTTCAAAAATAATTTCTTTATTGAATAATTTATATTTTTTCAAAATTATTCTATTAATGAATTTTAAGAAAGGAAATATCAAATTTAAAAAAAAATTGGTTGTCTGTAAAGTCGGTTTACGGACGATAGTTTTACGTGATAACGTCATAAAGAAACATTGATGAAAAATTGCATACTTTTATGAATTGAATTGAATTATTATCACTGAATTATCATTATTTTGTATTTAAAAATTAAAAAATTTTGGGGGGGGGGGATCCTTTTTACGGATTCTAGGCATAGATGTTGGCCCAGCTATGTGGCGACTCGACGCAGCGTCATACTAAAACTTGACGCTGACGCCCCTACCCACTAAACCTTAAACCCCTTTCTCTTCTATCCTCTGATCCCCCATGGTACCGCCGTAAGGCATTTCTTCGCGGGGGGAGGAATTAGCTGCCGCTCTTCCTTCTGGTGCGAATAAATTAACCTTATAGTTGGAATCTGTGTTATTATTTGGCTAATATTAGTTAGATGTAAGTTTATCTGTGTTGCGTGATCCCCATCCCGACCCTGGACACGGCGAGCTTGAGCACGGGGAAGTCGTGTTTATCACAACGAGGCTTTCAAACCTTCCGCAACGTCACACCTCTCTATCGCTTGTTGCGCGCTCTCGCTTGCACTCACAGGCTCAGGCGGAACGCACAGGAGGAACACAAAAGCGGAACGGTCTGTCGGAACGCGACATTTTTTCGTGAGCGCTGTCGGTGTTCATCAATTTATAAGACGTTATCACGTCAAAAAAATTAGAAATATTATCTGATATATTGCGGCCTGTAAAGCAAAACATTTTTTTTCCCCAATCTAATACTTGTTTTTAATGTGTGAAATATTATTGGATAATTTATAAATTATACAAACTATATAATATATTTGTCCTTTACTGTAATCAAATTTGAATAATTGAACAATGAAGATTGTTAAATCGTCTATCGCACCAAGTAACTCCTATTATTACCTCTAAAATGAATAATAATTATTCTCTAACCAGTAAATATAGCCGATATATACAATTGATTCGGTCCATTAGCAGCGTCTTCTGGATCAAGTACAATCTCCTGAACAATACCACCAATAGCTCCAATTAAATATAATGGCACACCGATAGCCGTAAAATAAAAATCAAGAATCTCAGAATTTTCATGAAACACATAGCTCATAATGATGACTATTGTTATTAACAAATAAGTTGTTGAACCAATGCAGTAGATTATCCAGAGCCAGGTCGGAATCTCAAAACTATAGTACTGACTCATTATACTGAAACTTACGCATACCATAACCTGAATGTCGAATCATTTAACCTCGTTAATGTTCAGTTACATTTATTAGTTTCTTGACTTGAGTAGATCTATATAATAATGCAGTAATTTTGCAGAAACAATTTCACGGCTTACCCTTACCCATTGAACTGTTTTTACCCATATTGGATGTTCTGTCGTTAAATTTATCAAAAATCCTTTGGTGTCATAACTGCACATTTTTTTATGATTTTTACTGTCACTTTTATAAAAATAAATTATTTAATAATTATTATTTGATTAATAAGAACAAAAACAAAAGAATTTTATAATAAAATTAAACTCTTGACTGTTAATTTTTGGTCATGAAAAATTAAAACTATTTTCTGAAGTTAGTTCGAGATATAATGGCCCATATTTTTTTGAGGGGTCTATTGACAAAAATTTTTGATTAATTCTTATTTTTATAAAATGATTTTAGTTTTTTTTTTACGGCTTAAAAAAATTTTTATAAAAGAAAAAAAATTTTTTACATTATTTGCATACAAAATTTATATAAATAATTACTACTCTTATTTATCAGTACAAAAATTTGTCATACTTTCAGTTAATAATAATAATAATAATTTTACATTTTAATGGGTCTTTTGTACCATGAAATGAAAATTATAAATATAAAAAAAAAGAATAATAGTAATAATCTGTAGATTGCATTAACTGATTAATCTTAATTATATTCACTCTGAGCGAATTCGTAGAAACTCAATAAAGTATCGAGTAGATACGCTGCTCCTTCCAAAACACAAAGCGAGCCCACGGCTAGACCAATCTAAAAAAAAAAAAATCAAGGAGAAATAATTTGCATGACAATAATTTAGAAGCTTGTCAGTAGAGTTAAAAATTTTAATCCTACCTGTCTCTCCGTTGCGACATGGATATACTTGTGTTCCGATTGATAACCGTGCCAATAATGTAGAGCTGTTCCTCCTACGGCAAGGAACATGAACATTCCTACGATATTCATAATTATTTCCTGAAAATATATATAAATATACAATTAATTAACAATTAATTAAATCTAAAGTTAATTTTTTTTTGTAGCAAAAATCAAAATATTCAAAATTGTTTTGAGTAGAACAAAAATTGTTAATTTAATAACTTTAATTTAATTGTTAATTTGAGTAGAACAAAAATTAATTAATTTAATGTGCAAGCAAAAAAAGTGACGAGCTCTCAAAATTTATAACTTTTAAGAATGAAAATTAATTCATAAAACAAAATTTAATTAGGTATTTCATTAAGCAAAATTTAATTTGTTTCAAGAGCAAAATTTTCAGTCAAGATGTTTCGAAAAATTTTATCATTTTAGATTCAGCAAAAAAATTCTTGGTCTAAGTAAAATTTTCTCAACCCGAAAAAAAATTTATTAGATAAAAAATGTTTCTGTTTGATTTGAAATAATAAAATTTTTAAAAATGATCTAAGCTCTAAATTTTCTCTCTTGGAAAAAAATTAAATTTTTTATCAATATAAAAAATTAAATTTTTTATGAAAATTTCAAGTAAAAAATAAATGGATAATTAGGTTAGATAATTTATACCTAGTAACTTTTTTTTTTTTATAAATTTAAACATAGATAGTTGCAAATTGATCAATTTTTGATTACGAAGAAAGTTTTCATTTTTGTCAGAGAAATTTTGAGATATTTTTATTATAATTACCAAATTTGATGATTAATATTTATTTGATCTATTTGATGATTAATATTGTACATAATAATAAAATATAAACTTACAACAAGACTTTTTTTATGCTCCGTACTATTAAAACAATAAGTCATCAATACAACGCTGGTGTAAATGAAAAAACCAACAAAGACACCGGAAGCAACGATTTCTGCGTCGGGGCTCTTGTCCTCGTTTAGGTTCCACGTTCCACCTACACCTAGAAACTCTCCTCCGTATCCCGTTCGATACAAGATGAGAATAATTAAGTTCATTACCTGCAATAATTCCACCCAATTATAGTATATCAGTAATAATTAACAAAAATAATGAAATTTGAAAAAAAAATATTGAAAAATTAACACTAGAACTGGGAATCCATGCTCTATCTATGCATGTGTCACCGAAAATTATCTCTTTACAAATACTCGTTATCTTACTCTCTGATACGCTGTAAGTGATTCAGGAATTCTTTTCTTTGCGTTATTGCTAAATATTTTTTGAATATTAATATCAACTTTGAGGAATTTTCGCAACAACTAAAAATTATCAGAGTTGTACGGATATTTGAAACTGCTGACATCGGTCGCGATAAAACGCACTAAATAAAATTTCTGATTATTTATTAATAAATAAAAGTTATTGAACTAGATTCTCACCAATTTAAGCACTTTTATACTGATACTGCCAACCGACACTACGGAAACCATGGTGATATTTAAATGTAATTATTAATTATTAAATGTAATATAAATTGAAAATTTTTAGACAAGTGTCTTGATCTTTAGTTACCGGTTAACTGAAATGAATCAACGAAGATGATAATAACTTCTACAATGAACCAAGCCCTTTCTTATCTTATCAGATAACAGGTTAAAGCGAGAAAATAAATCCCGAAGAGTGTAAAAACAGAGCATCTGTTCCACTTACGTTACTCTTTATTTTTTATTTATATTTTGTACTTATGATTCAATTATCGTCATTAAAAACTATCGTAATCATAAATTAATTTTTAATGAATGATACCGTTAATTTAATGTACGCAATTATTTCATTTATTTTGTTAATCATTTGTAATATATTTCTTTAGTTGATAAAAACGACTGTCTCATTTCAAAAATAACATTCAATAGAATTTTATGAATTTATATTATAAAAAATAAATTGTACTCTAAATTGAGAAATAATTTGCAATTTATATGAAGAAGAAATATTAATAAAAAATCTTTTAAGAAAAAAACATCAGTTTTTCAATCCAGGATAAAATTTTATTCAATAATGAAATATATCTATATATATCATATATATAAATATTCTGGCAATAGTAATTTTATCCAGGATAAAATTTTATCTCGGATTGAAAAACTGGCCCTAAAGATTTGTTAGATGTCTGGTAATTTCAGTATAAGAAATTAATTTTTTTTTAATTTTCAACAATTTTATTGTTTAGCTAAAGAAATAAAAATTTTTCCAACAGTAACTTTCTTGTTGAAAAAAAGTTTTTTTGATTTAAAAAAAAAAACAATTCTAGATAAACAACTTGTGAATTTTTCTCTAAAGTTTTTTTTTCTTCCAAATTTAGAAACATTTTTTTCAAAAAAAAAATTACTGTGAGAAAAATGTTTATTTCTTCAGCTGAAAAATGAAACTGTTAAAAATTTTTAACAAATTAATTTACTTTCACTTTTTTAAAAAGAAAATTTTTTGAATGTACTTTTTTATCAAAATTATAACATTGAATTTTAATTTGATAATGAATAATGATTCTTTAATATTTAAACCAATTGATAGATTAAAAAACTTTTAGAATCATAGAAAAAAGCTTATTCCTTTAATTAATAATAAAATTTTTAATTTAGTTGATTTTTTAAAATTACAGTTTGGTCATTTTTTACTTACCTGTAAAATTTCTTAAATTTTTTTTTGTGAATGAATAATATATCTTCCTCATTTAAATGTTTACCCGCAAATAAATTTAAATAGATAAATTTTATTAATTGAAATTAATGTTTCAGGAACTGGGTCTTGACATAAAAGATGACCAAATATCGGAAATGGAAGCTTGTGTAGACAAGATAGATTTTCTTGCAGCTGCAAAGGAAGAGAAGGCTACAAGACACGATGTTATGGCTCACGTGCACGTGTTCGGTACACAATGCCCCAAAGCTGCTCCGATTATTCATCTTGGAGCTACTAGTTGTTACGTCGGTGATAATACCGTAAGTTATGAATAATTTTTCATACCTTTAACTTTTAGAATATTTTTTTTCTAAAAATTTTGAACTTTTCAGGATCTCATTCAACTCAAACAGGGATTTAACATCCTGTTACCGAAGCTGGGTGGTGTAATCCAGCGACTTGCCAGATTCGCTGAAGAACACAAAGATCTCCCGACTCTGGCATTCACGCATCTTCAGCCAGCTCAACTGACGACCGTCGGCAAGAGAGCAACTCTCTGGCTACATGATTTACTCGCGGATGAGTACGATCTTAGAGAAGCCCGCGATAGATTGAAATTCCGCGGAGTAAAGGGCACAACCGGGACACAAGCTTCATTTCTTCAGCTGTTTAACGGTAATTATAATTACAATTACTAACTTGATGTTAAGAAATAAATTTTTCACTCTACCGCTTTCTATTCAGCAATTGACACTGCAGAGTTAATTGTCATGTGATAAATTTAACTTACTGACTAGGTGACACTTGTTAGAGGCATATATTTTAAAGATAATATGAAAAGTTTCAATTGAATAAAAACAAAACTTTATTTTGTAAAAAATCAATTAATTAATTTAATTTTCTAGGTGATTCCACAAAAGTTAAACAACTTGACGCATTGGTAACTCAAATGGCTGGATTTGACGAATATTATTCCGTTACTGGTCAAACCTACAGCAGAAAAGTTGACATCAAATGCGTGGGCGTACTGGCATCTCTTGGCGCTACTATTCATAAAGTAATATATATTTTTTAAAATAATAAAGTTAATTAATCAAATGTTTTTTTATATGTCAGAATTTTTCGAATCTCGTGTTGAATATTAAATCTTTAAATTAATTTATTAAAAATCAAACAATTAGTACAATTATTGTTGATTAATCTTTTCAAATTTCAAAAGTTAATTTAAAAAATTTTAATCTTCTAATCAATAGTTGTATTTTTTTTCTATTTAAAGTTTATCGAATTTACACACTGTTAAAAATTTTCATAAATTTATTAACTTTTTAGTATACAAACATTTAATTTAATATTTGTATAAATATGCTATAAATGGTAAAATTACAAGGCAGAAACTCGCAAAAATAAAATACCGGATTTTATGCAAAAAAAAAAAAAAAAAAAAATCAAACTTTTGTAGACTCTACGTACAAAATTAGAAAATTTAATTGTAATTTTGATAAAATTTTTATAATCTTAGCACACTTCTTCACAATTTTTACATAGTCGAGTTTGTAAAATTACATAACGTTCACTTATTATCATTAACAATTATAATTTTTTAAGATGGAAAAATTTTTGATAAATTTCAACCATCAAGCCAAATAAAACGACTGCAAGAGTATAAATTTCATTGAAATGGGCCCAGAATAGACATTTTTTGGTCTAGAAATAAATGTAAACATGTAAATTGAAGCTTATTTTCTCAGCTATCATGTGCATTTTACGGAATCGAATATCTCGACGTGTTCTGAAGTTATTTGAAGGAAAAGCAGTAAAGATATAGAATTTTCGAATTTTCATTATTTTAAAATGCTGTAATTTCTGAACTAATTGTCCGATTCAGCTCAAATTTAATTTCGACCTTCGTAATTGTATATAGAATAAGTATGTTGAGTTACATTAAAATCCTTTAAGAATTGTATACGCTATCATGCTGACAAGCCACGCTATTCATACTAATATTATAAAAAGGAAAGATTTGATTGTTTGCTTGTTTGCATTGAATAGGCTTCGAATCATTAGATTTTTATGAAATTTACTAAAAAGTACAATTATCATTAGGGAAATTTATTTTAAAAACTTTTAGAGAAATAAATGGTTTTTTTTTAACATTGCAAATAATAACAATAATTTTTTATTTACAGATCTGCACTGACATCAGACTTTTAGCCAGCATGAAAGAAGTAGAAGAACCATTTGAATCAACGCAAATTGGTTCTAGCGCGATGGCATACAAGCGGAACCCAATGCGTTCCGAACGTTGCTGCAGTATTGCGCGTCATCTGATGAGTCTCCAAAACAACACTCTCCAAACAGCTGCGAGTCAGTGGATGGAACGAACTTTGGATGATTCTGCCAACCGGCGAATCACTCTTGCTGAAGCTTTTCTCTCCGCAGACGTGATCCTGATGACTCTACAGAACATCACAGAAGGTCTTGTCGTTTACCCGAAAGTAATTGCGCGACACATTACCCAGGAATTGCCTTTTATGGCAACTGAGAACATCATCATGGCGATGGTAAAGGCAGGAGGAGATCGACAAGTGTGTCACGAGAAGATACGAGTCTTATCTCATGAAGCTGGTGCTCAGGTCAAGCAGCACGGCCTAGACAACGATCTTGTTGATCGAGTCAAAAAAGATCCCTATTTCAAGCCGATTTTGAACAAACTCGATAGTCTTCTGGATGCCTCGACATTCATTGGTCGTTCTTCTGAGCAAGTTGTAGAATTTCTTCAAAAGGATGTTCAGCCAGTCTTGGAGATCTACGCTGGACAGGAGCAAAGACGTGTTGATCTTAATATTTAAATTTTTCCATTTAATTGTTGATTCAAAATCAAAATTTTCTGGGATCAATAATTGTCAATACTTGTAATAATTTTTTTATCTGTTTATAGATGTATATAAAACATTGGTTTCATACAATAATATAATTTTTGACATAACAATTTAATATTTCATTTTTCATTCAACAATTTCATAAAATTTTTAATACCTCTTTATGGTCTTTAGGTGTGATAGGTCTGAAAGGAAGTAGATGTTGAGAGAAGATAGCAGATAGTAGATAGTAAAGTTAAGAAATAGGAGAATAGTAAAAAAGAAATAAAGATAAGAAAAAAAGATAACATTTATTTTTTATTTGCATTTGAAAGTTGAAAAAAAAAAAACAAAAAACAATGTGAAAATAGTAGGTTTGTACATTCAGAAATAAAGTTGTAAAAAATAACAATAATGGTAAAGATTGAGTTATTGGTAAGAGTAGTAGTATAAAAGATATCGACAGTATAGGTTTATAAATTAATTATAGTAAAAGTGAAAGTTTATTGATAGACTAGAGGAAAAACGGTGGTACAGATTTTTAGATCGTGGAAAGGAAGAAGTGAGAAGAAGAGGAAGAGTAGAAAAAGAGAAAAGAAGAAATTAAAAGTTGAGAAGGAGAAAGGAAGAAAGAAGAATTATAGGATAGATTTTTAGAATTGGAAAAAAAAGTTTAGATAGTAAAGAGAAAAAATAGTTTGAGAAGAAAGAGAAATAAAGAAAAATAAGAAAGAGAAAAAATAAAGTTTATAGGAAAATAAAAAAGACAGACAAGAAAAATTAGAAAGAAGATAGAAGTAAAGTATTTTTATTTTACAAAGTTGAAAGAAGACATTTAGAAAGTTGAAAAGAAAATTTTAAAAACTTGAGGAGAGATATTAAAAAATTACAATTGTGTAGAATAGTACAGAGAAGAAAGTAAAAAGATAATAGTTTGAAAGGAGAAATAATGTTTTTTTTTTTTTAAGAATAGAAAAGAAGAAAAGTAAAAGTTTTGTTTTTGTGGAAAAATAAAAATTTTGAGAGGAGAAAATAGTAAAGAAGAAAAGAAAAGAGTAGAATAAAGAGATAAGAAGTAAAGGATAGTTGAAAAGAAAGATAAGAGAAAACAAAGAGAAGAGGAAAGGAAAGAGAAGAGTTAAAAAAGTGAAATAGATATGAGTAAGAGTAAAGAAGAATAGATTTAAAAGGCAACAAAGTGGTAGAAAGAATAATAGAGTGTATAAAATTTAATAGAAAGTCCAGCGTATTGTCTTTTTTTTAAGTACGTGACGGCAAGACGCGGCGTACAATTTCGAGATCATAATACTGGTGGGTAGAGAAAGTACTTAGAAGATAACTGATAAAATATTATTGAAAAAAAAGAGGCTAGGAAAGTTTGAGTCGAAGCGATTTAGAGACAGAGAAGGATTTACATTGAGCAACAGGTGAAGAAATAGTTGAAAGTTTAGATGAGATATTGAAATTCAGGACAACTGAAAAGAGAGTAGAAGTATGCTTTTAGAGAAGAGAAAGTGAGAAATAGAGAAATAGAGAAAGAGAGAGAGAGAGAACGAAAAATGAAAGAGAAAGAAGAAAAATTATGAAGAGGAAGAAGGAGAAGTAGAAGTAAATTAGAAGAATTGTAAAGCATTTTTGGTGCTTTTAGTTTGAAGAAGAAATGTTGGAGATAAAAAAAAAAAGAAGAGTAAAGGTAGAAAGGAAAATAGTAAAAGTATAGGTTAGGATAAAGAATAGTTAAGAAAAAGTGGAAGAAGGAAAATGAAGTAAGAAGAATAAGAAAGAAAAAAAGTTTATAGAATTGAAAAAAGTAAAGATTTAAAAGTAACATAAAACTCTATGAAAAATATATGTAAAAGTAAGAGATAAAGAAAAGTTAAAGTTTAGGAACTATCACAGTGGTTTTATCAATCGATAGGTCAATAAAAATAAATGTATTAAAGTTAACAAAACAAGAACCAAATTGTAAACTCAAATGATTTAAAGCCATATAAAGGTACATCGGGAGTAGCGTCCATGCGGTTAATTTAAAAATCTCGCTTAGTTGTTTGAATAATAATCCAATTTCTCCCTATTGAATCTCTCGATTATTAAAACATTTAAAATAAATTTAAAGTTGGTGGGAATGTTCCGATCAGGTGCACGGCATCATTTTTATCGAGTCATACTTTTTATGTATTTAAATCGTCTGTTGCCGTGTGAACCTGGGTTATTTTTTGGCGACTCGGTACCCTGAGAAGGATGTTCCTTCATTGGGGTTGCCGGAGTCCACGAAAACGGCGAGCTGATCACCGATCTCGGAGTCCAGGAAGACAAGATTTGAGCCGCCGCCAATTCCGGTGGACACTATGGGGGTCCAATCATCTGATCTGTTAGCTTTGCGCTTTAATGTCAGCTTCAAGTCGGCGGTACCATATCCAGCTAGGCTGAATTGGTACAATCCGGGGCAATGAGTCGTGAATATTCCTGTTTCTGCGGCGTATCCGACGCCTTTGTTTACTTGCGTCTGCGAGAATTTCAGTCGGGTATTCTGTGGAATTAATATTTATTAGTTTACCAGAAATGATCTACTAGAGATGATATTTTTCTATAGAAAATATTACTTACGGTTTTAAGTCCTGATGTTGCGGAGAATGCAACTACTCCAGCACAATCTTCGGCATTAGCTAGTTTTAGCGAGCCTACGGTCGTGATACCAGATGATGGTGGGTCTGGTCGGGCCCCATTTGTCAGGAGACTTGTTGTTAATATCAGTAATACCGTCCACACCAACCTGAAAAAACAAATTATACATTAGTTTTGATGTAATGATTTATTGCAAGTGTTTAAATTAATAATTCATGTCAAAAGTAACAGAACTAATGCTAAACTCAGAGAATAAATTTCTTTTGAAAAAAATGAACAATGTTCTAATAAAAAAATCATTTGTTGAAAATTTACAATAAAATAATTTCTTATGATAGCAATGTCTATTTTTTTCAAAAGAAATTTTTTCTCTTAGTTATTTTCTATAAGATCTTTGTCTAAAAAAAATCGGAACTTAATGAATAATCAAAAATATACAAAAAATGTTAGTGTACACGGAAAGAACAAGATGACACTGGACATCATCCCAGATTATACTGAGTAAAAAAAATTTTAAATAGTAGCTAGTATAATCTAGATTACAATGACTATAATCCATATTACAATGAGTATAATCCAGATATCACGCAGTATAATCTGGATTTTTTTCTAGCTACTATCTGAAATTTTTTTTCACCACAGATATCACTGAATATAATCTGGGATGATATAAGTTGAGCAAAGTGAATTCCATGATTCATTTATATCAATTTTTTAAGAGTCATTAATTTTTTTCCAATGTAATAATTTAATTTACTGTTGGTAAATCACGTTGGTATTAAATAAAATATTCTTGTTACATAATAACTGTCCTACTCGTAATTTTTACTTAAATTTTTTATCCTTGAACACTTTCAAACCTCTAAACGTAACCTAGTATTTCTTCTTTAGCATAAAATAATCAACAGTGAACTTTAATAATTGTTGATTGATTTTTTAATTGTTTGTAAAATTATTTTGCTTAAACAAATCATCAAAAAAATTGGAATTATTCGTTTTAATTGAAAAGACTGAGCTCAAAGTCATTTTTAATCATTAAATTTTTGGTGAAAAATTTCAATGATCCAATTTTATTTTAATATTGTTGTTTTTTTAATATTATAAAAAATTAATTTTAATTTTTTTTTAATAAATAATGAATTTACTTTAATTTTTAAGAAATATTTCAACTTTTCTAATAAATAAAAAAATTACAATAAAAATGAACATAAATAGAAAATGATTTGCAAAATGAAATTATACTTTTACTATTACAAAATTAAAAATAATAAAGTCTAGCAATATCCAATTACACTTGTATAAACATTACAACCCGGCAAATCGTAAAACAAGAGATACATAATTTAACATGTAATAAATTTCAAACACAGTACTAATAACGACTGTAAAAGAAGAAATTAAATTTTTATCGACTTAAATAATTGGTAAGCGATAAGGATATTGTTTTTACAGGAATTTATTTTTATTTTATTTCGCAGTTACATAATTTTAGCTCAGTATATTTTGATTTTTTAGATACAAGATACGGACACGGCGATTGAGCAGATAATTCAACACTAGACACGTGAGAAGAGAAAACAAGTTTTAGCAAATTATGTAATGTAAAAAAGTGGCATGCGATTTCGCGAATAAAATTTTATTTCTCAAGTTTACGCATTTGGTCATGTTTTAATACATGATTATTCAAGTAATATAAATATATAAATATAAGTAGGAGAATGTAATATAAGGAGGAAGGCTCGTCTCCTTTCACTCGAGGTCAAACCCAATCAGATAACCATCATCTTTACCCGGTCATTTCAAGAATAATAAACGACATTTTGTAAATAACTAAAAAATTTCATTTACCTCCAAGCGTTTTATTTGGAATACTTTCTAATAAATTTCTTCTTAAAAATTCATTATAGTAAAAAGCATAGTTTTATGGTAATTAATTCTTGTAATAAATTGTAACTTCCTTTGTTTGAAAAAAAATATATTTATGTATAAATAAAAATGAAGGTACGATTTCTCCAAGAACCGGAAAGTTTTAAAAATGAAAAGTGGAACTTGAGCTGCACGCTGCACTGACCGAATAACAAATCAAACGAGAACATGAACTAATAAGGAAACACGAGTTGTGGTGGGTTCACGCACCATCGATTTACCCCACTTTCTAATCGGAACTTAAGAAAAGAAAGTGATAATAACAGTTATTTACTTGACCTTGTTATCTGGGAATTCATTTTTTTTCTGTTAATTTGCGGACATCTTAATTGTATTTATTTATTGTGGTCGGTTGTCGGAGTCGCGAGATCTTAATCCGGGCGGGGCTGGGTTCGAAACCCGACGACGGTAAAATAATTCTAATCATTAAACATTCTTTTTCTTGTTATTTTGTATTTGAATTATTTATAACTAATTATTTGAAAATAAATTTATTATAAAAAAAAAAAATAATAGAAACAATGATATTCAATAAAATTATGTTGACTTCAGTTCCAGAGTAGTAAAAAAATTATAAGAGAGAACCATTGAGTTTTTTTGTAAGATATCTTGATTACAAGCTACAAACTAACGGAACCATAAAAACATTTCTTTATTATACTTTTTAATACTATTCTTCATTGGTCAATTTAGAAATCATGAAGTATTCATTGAACCGGCTCAAATTATTACTATCTATTCTTTTTACTTCATATAAATGGTTAATAAAAACAACGGTTCAAGTGTACTGACTAAATAACATTAAAATTCGAACGTACCCATTGTTTCTTTTTTTTTTAATTAGAAAATGTCATTGTCATTCATTTTTAATATAATTTACAGATATTTTTTAATTTAAAAATGTCTTGTATCAAAATTTATTTATTTACTACACGGAAAGAACAAGATGACACTGGATACTATCTCAGATTATACTCAGTGGCATCTGAGATGAAAAAAAATTTCAGATGGTAGCTAGTATAATCCAAATTATACTGAATAATATTTGGATTATACTCATTGTAATCTGGATTATACTGATTGTTATCTGAATTATACTAGCTACTATCTGAAATTTTTTTCACTCAGTATAATCTGGGATTATATCCAGTATAATCTTGTTCTTTCCGTGTATGCTATAATTAAAATAAAATAATTATAATAACATCAATGAATTTGACCGTATATTTGGCTTAAGACACTTCCGTATTTCTGGATATAATTTTTTAAAGTGTCAAAAATGTATTTTATGTGAATTATTTACATCTTATCTTAATGAATTGATATGTTTTCCAATTGCAAAATTTATAAGTTCAATTAAAATTATTTTTCAAGTTAAGAATTTATTTTTTTTTAACAAAATTTTTTATCAAATAAATTTTAAAAAATTCTTAAAATTTTTAATTAAATCAAAAATTAAATTTTTAATTATATTTCTTTTATTTTTCTTTATTATTACTGTTTATACTTAATTCCCCTTATAATTTTTTTAATATCAATATGTACAAAGCCGTTTGGCGTTAAAAGTATAATAAATAAATCCATTGAAAAACATTGACTTATTATCTCATAAGTGCTATGTAAATAAACAAAAATAATTTACACTTAAGTAATAATAAGTTAAAATGTGTGAATTAATCTAATTGACATTTTTAAAAATAAAAAAGTGTACAAATAAGCCCTTTAGATGAAGAATAAATAATTAATCAAAGCCGTGACATCTAAAGATGCTTTTTAATATCATTTACAAAAAGGTCACATTCTATTTGTTGGTATACAAGAGATAATCATAGGTGTATGTGGGTGTTAAATGTTAAAAAAAGGCTTGATAAATCGAGTCAACGGGTTTAAATTCTAAAGACCCTTTCACTTTTCTAAGGGGGTACGGTCTCAAGGCAGAATCGTGACACGGAATAGATTATAATATTAACAACCTTGTCCAGTTTAAAACTAGATTGTCCAGATTCTAGACTTGTAGCTCTAAACTATAGACTTTCCTACTGTCACAAGTCATAATAGTATGTTAATAGTAATTTATAGTACTTTGTAAAGTACTACTTTATTTTTTCACACTTCATACTCCGAGTATGCAGTCAATAAAATAGAATTTATGACAGGGATATGATAATAACAATTGCAAAAAAATACACTTCCGTCAATCGTCAATGGGGTCACGTAACAACATTTTTATCGAAGCTGAATCTGGTATCAGATGAATAGATGAATTGATTAAATTGAATTTTTTAGAATAAAAATCCCACTTTTTCGTATCGAACCGGCGATCAGATCCAGAGGTCATTTGAATAGTATAGAATAGATAACGAGCGAATTATGTAGTTATTTTTACAAAAAATGAAAGAATGATTGTAATTGAATGTGTTTAGAGAACGTTGAACAACTAATCATCATAATGTTTCATAACCATGCAATACATTAACACTCATTTACGGATATATTATTTTACGTAACTAGATTCCAGTCCGAAGTTTACTACGGGGAGAGTTGTTTAATTTCAAAACATGATTGAGCATAATTATAAGTAAATGCTTAAAGTTTCAACCGCATTATTAGCGAGGTTTATTTATCTTACCAATTAATCGTTCTATTTTTTTTGAAAAATTTTTTAGTTTTACGAAATTGATAATTGTTATTATTAATAACATTTTTTTCTATATAAATCAATTACAGGATAATAAGAAAAAATTTGTGATTATTAATAATTGGCTCTTTATCTATAAAAACAATTTTATTGATTTTAATAATTATAATTATTTCCTTCGCTTTTAATCAATTAAGAATTTCTCAATTATTTTGAAATAATTTAGTAAGAATTTATTTATTGTAAATATTTATCAATTTTAAAATTTTATTTAAAATTAATTTAAAAATTTTATTTAAAATTAATTTTAAAATTTTATTTAAAATTATTTTTTATTGATTAGAAAAAATTTTAATTAATAATAAATCACAAATTTATTCATTCATCAAAAAAATTTTGTTAGCAATAAATATTTGTTAACTTTTTATCACTATTAAATTTTTGCAATATCTTAAATTTTTTTTAATAATTTCAGAGAAAAAATTGTCAAGTTTTTTTTCTAGTGATAAAAAACTATTATTTAATACTTGTTAATAAATTATTTATCACTTCATTACTTGCCAATTAATTTAGAATAATAATCGACCAAATATTAAAAAAAAATAATAATTACAATAATTGTTCACAAATTCTTCATAAAAAATTCACTTCAATCAATTTAAAAATAAAAATTGCCGATAAATCTTCAATAAAAACAAAATCACGATTTTTACCGATTAAAAAAAAAATTTAACTAATACTATCTCCAAAATTACAATAAATGTTCGTAAAACGATAAAAAAAAAAACAATAAAAACTTACATGATGTTAAATTGTGGTGTGGCAGGAACACCCTGGCCGGGTAAACCTGGATACAACGAGGAGCGTTGTTTCCTTCAGGTCGTCCAGGTGCGTTAAGCTCACTCGGTACCACGACACACCTTTATATCACTTCCGAGCAGCAACAACCTGCTCCACACTCCACAATCCATCGTCCGGAGTCTCTATTTTCTCTTTCTCCTATGTAGCCTGTACCAGCACGGCTCCAATGCTCCCTCTCTTCTCTAACTCGCATTATTTTACACGGTGACCCATGTACCCCACTTACCCGGCTTTTTTATCAGTCCACTTACTTATTCTTGTTGCTCATACTGGCCC